TTATTCTATTGGATTTTTTTAAATCTTATTTACCAACTCCAAATTCTGATATAGAACAACTCTCTGCCCCTGTTACCAAAATATAGATGGTGTTTTGGCATTCATCCTACCCTTTGCTGTCATTTCAACCTTTTTACTTGTCACTGGCTTTGACTCTGACCCCCAGGGCAGCCTTTCTTCAGAAGAAGAAAATGCTAATGACTGGTCCTAGGAGAAAGACTAGGAGCATAAAGTTCCACCCCCAGGGAATTTAACATTTTGGTATAAAAGAATCACATACGGATACTGATCTTTTTTAAAAGCAGGTTTCTGGTTCCCATCTCCAAAGATTCTAATGCAGTAAGTAGACCTTGCTGTGTCTTTTAGCACTATGAGCAACCTTACTCCATATGTTTGCAAACACAGTGCAAGGAAGAACAAAACTTTTCACACAGTGTGCTGGACAACTGCCAGAACCTTCCCATTTTTTTCACTCTTGGTTCTGGTTTAGTCTAGGAATAATGGGCTCACTAGGGTTTCTTGTAGATAGTTATTGAAAAAATTACACCCCCCCAACAAAAAAAATGCAGACATACAGTGAAGGGTTCTGCTCTTTCCTACAGAAGGAAATGAAAGGCAAGTTGTCCTAAGGATAGAATGCTAATGCAGTCAACACTTTCAGTTACCACCATCCTTTTCACTCAATCTTATAGCTCTTTCAAGAAGCAAGAAAACATTGGCTTAAACCTCAAGAAAACCTCCAGGTGGTAGTTAAATGCAGTAATTTTATGCTATTGATTAGTTGGTTTACAGCTAATTTTAGGACATAGAGGAAAAGGGATGCCTGTTCAATGCTCACTTTGCTGCCTGACAGTCCTCTACAAGGTCCCCAAATGTCTACCTAGGAAGAAAGTGAGAAATTATTGTGAAAGTGGGAAAAGAAAAATAATATTCCATAGTAAAAAGAAGAATTAAAGGCAAGAAAAATTATCCTAAAGAAAGATGATGAAATTGTATGGAGAGGTTTAAAACAATCAAGCATCTGCAGAGAATGTCATGATTGAAAAGATAAACCCTAAGGGGGGAAGCATCTATCAAAATGAACTTACCTAGAGATTTTTAAAGATATACTAAAAACAAGGAAGGGGAATGAATTATATCTTTGGGCTACAGCTTCATTAATACCTTTACCAATAGATAAAAACACATTTTGAAGATTTCCTTTTCTTCAGTATATTTTCCTCTCTGTACAAATCCATGCAGTTAATTTCCTTCATAATTTCCCTTTTTTAGTTTTGTTTTGTCACTAGAACTACATTTATTGGATGTTTAAGAAAGAATCTTTCTACCTACAAGAAATAACATGTGTCCATAAATTGTTTAAAAAGTAGATGATTCAATGCAGAGAAATTATTCTAACAAAGAAGGATCCACTCCTGCGGAACTTAATATGTGTATTGGTAGACTGCAGAAGGAGAAATGCTTAATATAGCAGAGGGAAAATACATACACGAATACCAATTACTCAAGGACTCACTATGCTGATTCACCAATAATTAGCAACGTTGTGATAAAAAGAGAAATTTCATCTGCTGGTACTAAAGAACTAGAAACTGGAATAATTCCTGAAGAGTCAGAACAAAAGGCAAATTTTATAAACTATTTACCTATAAAATTAAACATAGTTTTTCTACATTGATGTTTTTGGACTTAAGAAAACACTAGTAGAAGTTATATTGACAAAATATGTCATTTAAATGTATTCATATTTAAAATTCCTCAACGTAATTTACTATCTCTAAACTAGAGAAACATGGTAGGAGAAAAGGAGACATCATTATCTTGCATGACATGATTTACATTTTTAGCTGTTATATAAATCCTTCAAAATATATACTCCATGAAGGTAGGCATCATAACTATGTTGTTCATCATAAGCCCTGCACATAACTGAAAAGATGTTCAGTAAATATTTGATGAATGAACAAACTGATTTTTTTTCATTTATAGTATTATAAAATGTGTGTAGATAGATTTTCTTCTTAAGTAAATTAAAACTTTACAAATGTTATTAAACACATTAAATATATTTAGAAAGTATTACATATAAATATTGTATTTAAATGTGCAGAGTTGATAAAGAAATTTTCCACTTATATACCAGTTTTAAACTTTGAAAATGAGGAATTTTTATGCTGGACCTACCATAATCTTAAGCATAGAAGATTTGAAAACAGGAAGACTTAAATTCAAATCCTGGCTCTATAATTTGGGCAATTATAGGTACTTAACTTTTCATAGATTTAATTTACAAATCTGTAGAATATGTATACAGTTATCTATCTTATAGCATCTTAGTGAGAATAAAATGGAATAATGAATGTAAGCCACTTAGTACAGTTCTTGTAATTCAATAATAATTCAATAACAGTTGAGGGTTAATATTAGAATATTTTCTGTATAAGAAACAAATGAAATTTGCCCATTAAAAAGTGGGCAAAAGACATGAACAGAAGCTTTTCAAGAAAATATAGACAAATGGCCAACAAACTTAAAAAAAATGTTCAATCATCAGAGAAATGGAAATTAAAACCACAATGATATATCGCCTTACCCCAGTTAGAATGGCTTTTATTAAAAAGACCAAAAACAATAGATGCGGAGTCTGGATGCAGAGAGAAAGGAATGCTTATACACTACTGATGGGACTTCAAATTAGTACAGTCTCTATGGAAAACAATATGGAGATTTCCCAAACATCTAAAAATGGACCTACCATTTGATCCTGCAATCCCACTACTGGGAATCTTCCCTAAAGAAAATAAGTCATTTCATCAAAAATACACCAACACTTGAATGTTTATTGCAGCACAATTTGCAATTGCAAAGATGTGGAAACAACCCAAGTTCCTATCAATTCATGAGTGGATTCATAAAATGTGATATATGTATAGCCGGAAGTACTACTCAGCAGAAAGAAATTAATTAATGCATTTTACAGCAAGTTGGATGGAACCAGAGACCATTATCCTAAGTGAAGTATCTCAGGAATGGGAAAACAAACATCACATGCACTCTCTAATAATTTGGAACTAATTGATGGGCACACATAGACACAGAAAGAAGTAAAAATCACCGGAAATCAAGAAAGGAGGGAGAAAGGGATGGGCAGAAACCTACCTCACATATATAATGAACACTATTCAGGTGATGGGAACATTTTGACAAAAGCATTATAAAAGGTATCCATGTAACAAAAACATTTGTATTCCCTTAATATTTTGAAATTTACAAAAAAATAAAAGTATATAAAACTTAAAAAATGTATGTGATTGTATTCTCTCACTCTCAAAATATCTTACTGTACTGGACTACCCTTTTATTTTCTTATTGATCTGATAGTGAAGACAGTAAGTGTCCAACAGGCAGGTAATGTATACAGCATGAATACACTGGACAAAGAGATGAGTTAGATGACACGAAAATTATCATGCTACTCAGTACAGTCTGCAAGTTAAAATTCATGAATTTTTTTATTTCTGGATCTTTTCATTTAATATTTTCGGTCCTTTGTAGACTACAAGTAACTCAAATGCAGAAAGTGAAACCTCAGAAAAGAGGGGAACTACTGTAATAAAAAGATATGAAACAAGAATCAGATTGGTCAGTGGCTTCATTATTGTTAGTTAAATATTTTGCAACATTGTACATGGATTCTCCTGTTATATATTAAATCAAGTACATTTTTTAAACAACTAGTTCTCAAATACTTTCAATATTTTTTAAAAAATTCACACATATCTTGACCATTTAATTGAAGAGGTTACTTACTGCAAAATGTATTGTGTTTACAAGTAGAAATATATGAAATTTTTTAAAATCTCTGCAGTCATTATGATTTAATGCAGCATCACTTAATCAGAATGAATTCTAGGGACATGTAACTATTTGTTGTTAAATACTCAGTGCATATGGTTTAGGTTTTTTTTTTGTTATTTCCTGAGTTAGAAATATTTGTGTCCTCTCAATGTCAGACAGTAAGTTTCTAACTCTTCAGATATTTGTATTGATAAATTTATTTAAGTTAGACAATGCTTTATTATTTGTAATAGAATATGTAATATCTTTTTAATATATATTTTATAATTATAATATTTTTATTATTCTTTTTCTAGTAATGTTTTATTAAGAGTGTAGAAAACAGTGGTTTACCTTAAACTCTTTGTTGTGCCTGAATCTATTTGTTCAACTCTTGATTACCATTATGCTTATTTGGCTAATAAAAGTTACTTTAATTTTTCTTTTAAAATAATCACAGTGATACCAAATTATAGTATGCAGTTTTATTTGTAGCATAGATTGCTCTCTAAAAATCATACCATGAATACATGTGAGTATCAATGAACATAAAATTAAATAGTAACTATTTCATGTGAACCACATTCATTTTTGGTGAAGTAAATGCCTGAGGCCTAGGCATAATTCCTTGGAAATGGTAATGCCAAAATGCCAAAGGAAACTCTTGGAAGGCTACACATTGTTTTTACATATTTATCTGTTTATTCCCTTGGAATAAAAAGATGAACTCTAATTAATGGCATATATGTTTGTGTGTGTATACACATTATTCTACAAAATAAAATTTTAATAGACAAGTTATTTATAAAATCCCTAGATTTTTATTACATAAATTTACCTACATTTACTAAGATATTTTGGACATTTTAGCTGTATTCTGTTGAAAATCTTCCCATCAAAATTTGAATGGTTATGGTCATAACAAACTATATGTTAACCACTTAGAATTTGTTATTTCATGTGTTTTTATATAGATGGTTAAAAATAACCTGTCAAACTAGTCGTTTGTGAAGTATTGAAAAGTCCTTATATTCCATGTGAACTAGCATTTTTCCTTTGATCATTAAAATGTGCTTTCTCAACTTTTGAAATCAACAAATGTTAAACATAAATAAATAAATGACCCAGCAACTGAATATTTCTCAATCTCCTCTCTATTTCAGGTCCAATCAGTAGTGTCTTGGTAAATAATTATGGCAGCCGGCCAGTGGTGATGGTGGGAGGTTTGCTGTGCTGTTTAGGAATGCTCCTGGCCTCTTTCAGTGCCACTGTACTGCAGCTTTACCTCACTATGGGATTCACCGTAGGTAAGTCATTTTGTTTTCAGTTTATTTTCTTAACACTCCTGAGAGTTGCAAAGCTCTGTGAGAAGAATGAGCAGCAGAAAATTCTTATTGTTTTCTTTGAGTTTACTTTTTATAAACAATGCTATTTTAAAGAATCTTCATCTTATGCATTGAAATACTAGCTATAAAATATGCAAACATTTCATTTTAAGAAGTAAAAAAAATAGTTATCAAAAAATTTACATGTTATCACATAAATGTTAAAAAGAAAACAGTTTTCGTTTACTTTTACTTTTTCACTCTTTACTCTCGAGCCAATTGAGATGGTATTGTGGACACTGACTTTCTGGTATCAATATATAAATATTTTCATTTTTTTAAAGATTACTTTTCATCACTAGTTTCCATTTAGACTATCTGACTTACCACTAATAATATGTCTAAAATGGGGCCAAGGAGAGATTGTCTGGATGCCCTAATGTAACTTCAACAATAAAATTATTGTTGTCTGTATTCTAATTAATGGAAGAGATCGTAACTCTGTCCCTTCTTTTTCTTATTCAAGTGATCCTGTTTAAAAGCTCAATGAGACACATTTGCCACTAACATAAATATTTAAAATGACATACTGTCATTTGATTATATTTGTCTTTCATGCATGTCTATTGTATCAAACTGACCTGAATGCATACATTTGAAAAACACTATTTGTATTAGCTTGAAATATAAATTGCATTAAAAAGTCTACTTTCAAAGTTTTAGGAAAAATTAGACTTCCCTATGTAAAGAAAATGAATCTTTGCCTTATGCCCAGAGATAAAAAGGTAAAAATATTTATCTTTTTAATAGTGATTTTAGATCAGTCTAACCTTATACCGATGTATCACTTGATGAAAAAAAAAATAGAGGAATTAAAGCCTACAGTAAGGGTAATATTAAAATCTTTCTTGTTACAACCTATCCACAGCTTTCTCCCTTTTGGATATGGCAAAACATACTATAATATTGTAAATGAAAACCTTCTTATATCTAAGCACTTCCCTTTTTTTCTAAAATGGAAATATATTCTTTTAGGTTCTTTAAATTACAAAAATGACACATGCTGGTTTAAAAACAAAAATAAAGCAATACAGAAATATATGTAAATGCAAGGTAAAGTAGTAATTAATTTCCCCTAGTAATTAATTTCCTCTCCCCATCCCAACACTCTACCAGAGATAACCCTCATTAACAATTGGATGCATCCTTCTGTGCATTTGTAAATGTATATGGATAAATATACATACACAAGGGAGTCATGGTGCACACGTTTTCACATAACCTTGTCCTAGTACCATTTCAGAAATATACCATGTTAAGCTATCCATGCCAATACAGTCATCTCTGTATCTATGGAGGATTGGTTCTAGGATCCCCCCTGATACCAAAATCTATGAATACTCAAGTCTCTGATATATAATGCTATAGTATTTGCATATAACCTATTATCTAAGCATTATCTAAGCACCTTTTTTGTATGTGTGGACATAGTAACTATTTCATTAGACTGTAGAAATCAGGATGGGCTTACAAGTAAATATATTAGGAAGAAGATGACTTTTGGCATTGATAACCACAGATATCAATAGCATTATTGTTATTCTAACTTATAATTTTATTTCTCTGAGTCTTGATGGCTTCGGTTCTTCCAGAGTCAACCATTAAATATATTTATGGGACATTGACCTTAAATCATTATCACCCAATACTCTGACTTTAGTTTCCGAAAGCAGACAGATCTAGCTTTTAAACCTGACTTAGTGCATGCTATCTGTGTGATCATGGCTACATTAGCCTCTTTATGTTTCAGTCTTGCTGACTGTAAAATGGGTAAAATAATAGCTCTTTTCTTAAGGAGTTGTTGAAATGATTAATGTAAAAAAATTAATATATAGGACTTACTAAGTACCCAGATTTTGGCTATTTATGAATAAATATTAGCAAACAATAATTACAATGTCACTTATATAATATCTTACAGTTCTAGAACTTAATTGATTTGGGCAATACTCTTTCTTTGTTGTTGAGTACACTGTATGGAGCTCAGGAAGTCTAATTGTTTTTCCCAGTAGTACAAAATAGATAATTAGTTGGGGCAGATTCAGATCTATTGATTTCAAGTCTTATGTTCATTTTACAATGCCAGAATGGGAAATAGATGGCAGCTATTTCCTAAAGAAATAGTGGATTAACATCTAAAGGCAAAAGTTCCAGGTGACAGAATGGGAAAATGACATGAGATAAAGAAACTTGAACTTAGAAACATAATACCTGGGTTTTAGTTTGGGTTCTTCCACTTACAAGCCACTTGACTATAGGCTGGTCAGTTTTATTATTTATAAGTTGGATCTACTTTTTCTGCATATCTTACAGGTATGGCTGAGGTAGAGTTAGACAGTATGCTCCTATTACTCTCCAAAGTATGTTTTTGGTTCCTTCTTGTAATCTTCAGGATCTTCCTACTCATAGAAAATGTTTGTGTTGTATTTTTTTGTGGGGTATTTGTACTCAGACCTGTGTGTCCTAGAACCTGAATACTTAACCACTTTGCAGTACTGTTTCAATTTAGGTAAATTAGTAAATATAGAAGAATTCTTACCTCTCTAGCCCCTAAAACAATATAGAATAATGTTTAGGCTAAGGGAGAAAATGAGGTAGTTTATCTAAATTAATTTTATGTATTTTATAAAGGACCTTATTCATTATTATTGCTAAATGGTACCTTGGTGAGCTACAAGAAGTAAGTCATTTCTCAAAGTTGATGATCAGTACTGTCAGGAAGTTCCCTAGACAATGGGAACTTTGACTCATATAAATAATCAGCTTTAATCTCTGAATTAAATATATGTTTCAAGCAAAAAAATTCTTTTATAGTTAGCATACATGTGCCTCTATATACATTAAATGTGGAACTTGAGGGATGTAAAGAATGAAATTAAATTCATAAATGTATTATTATTTTTATTATTTGCTTGGCATTGAAAGAAATATCTCTAGGGAGACATAAGATTGTTACAAATTACCACCTTCTTAGTGTGTTCCTATTCCTTCAACTGAACATATTCACATTTTTAAATTGCACTCTTGCTCACAAGGAAGAAATCTAACCTATATATGTGTGTAAAAATATATATTAAGAGGAAGATAATAATTGATCTATGGAATTATATTATTTTAAATTGAGAACTAATAATTTTTTCCTAGTTTCAGTTTATTTTATGATTATTAAACATCATTAGGAGTTCTTGGGTTTTTTCTGTGCTTTAAAATTAAAGGAATATGAAACTGTCAGATCAAGTGTCCACTTATGAGAACCTTTTTGTTTTCGTACAATTACATTTATATTTACAATTATCAAAAATTACTACCTGCTGTTGCATTATTAGATCTACCTTATCCATTTGAATGCATATGTTGAAAAGTAATTTCATTTTTCAGTGGTGTAATGTGTTTTTCCCACCTCTTTTGTCTTGTTCTTTTTAGGTCTAGGTTTGGCTTTCAACCTGCAACCGGCCTTAACAATACTTGGCAAATACTTCTATAAAAAACGTCCCATGGCAAGTGGATTGGCCATGGCAGGAAGTCCTGTTTTCTTAAGTACATTGGCTCCTTTCAATCAGTACCTTTTAGATACTTATGGCTGGAAGGGAAGCTTCTTGATTTTGGGAGGCATCTTTTTGAATTCTTGTGTGGCTGGGTCCCTCATGAGACCCCTTGTACCCAAAAAAACTACTTCTAAATCTAAAAATAAGATTGCTGTAAAAGCAGAAAGTTCAGGTGTGAAGAAAATCCATGAGAAGTCAACATGGGAAAAAATTAATATGTATTTAGATTTCTCCCTTTTTAAGCATAGAGGATATCTTATATACCTGTCCGGAAATGTCATTATGTTTTTTGGGTTTTTTGCCCCCATTATATTCTTGGCTCCATATGCTAAAGATAAGGGAATCAATGATTATCAGGCAGCTTTGTTGCTGTCTGTTATGGCTTTTGTTGATATGTTTGCTAGGCCTTCCGTAGGATTAATTGCAAACTCCAAATTAGTCAGACCCCGAATCCAGTACTTCTTCAGTCTCGCAGTTATGTTTAATGGAGTGTGTCATCTGTTGTGCCCACTGGCACAAACCTACACAAGCCTAGTGGTATATGCTGTATTTTTTGGCCTTGGATTTGGGAGTGTTAGCAGCGTTCTCTTTGAAACTCTTATGGACCTTGTTGGTGCCCCAAGATTTTCTAGTGCCGTGGGACTTGCCACAGTTGTGGAATGTGGCCCAGTTCTTCTTGGCCCTCCTCTTGCTGGTAAGAATATTTTCATCAAAAAAAGTAAAAATCATAAAATTAATGTACATTAACTGAGACTTTCCTTACAGTGAGTAATGTGGTTTATAATAATACCTGATAGCCTCAAAGATTTGGGGGATATTCATTTTAGTTTTTAAAATGTATTTTAAACTTTCATAATTAGTCAATTTTAGACCTAAATTTGTTTCAGAGCCTGGACCTATGAACTTAAGAACTTAAGTTAGGATTGATGATTAGTAGTATAATTTTCAGTACTTTTATCAATATCCAATGTTTTGTGCTCTTACAAATGTATCATAGAAATAAAATACCAGTTTTTCTTTATTTTATCATTAGTGAACTGATCTCTCTTCTATTGATATTAAATGAGTCAAATATCTATATCAATTTAATATTATTTATATTAAATTTAATATCTATTGATATAATAGATATTAAATATCTATTGATATTAAAATTAATATCTATTGATATTAAATTGATATTAAATGATATTAAATGTTGATATTAAAATGAGTCAAAAATGTAAAGTAATGTTCACAAAAGGTCATTATGTTTTTAATTATGGTACATTGATGATATTAATTTGGAATTTGTTACATGCCTAAAATGGAAAGGCATTCATAATATCAATGAAAGAAATACATATAAATATATATAAGATATATATTACATATATAGAGATAATGCAAAAATGAAGGAAAATTCATTCAAGATTATTTTTATAAGTATCAAGGGTCAGCTACTTATGTTCCATATTTATAAATTATAAAGATTACCTTTAGATTGTAAGATCTGAAATATTTTCAAAGATGCCTATAAAAGTGTTTATCCTGAATTACCCAGTAAGTAGACTAAGTACATGTTTAGGGCACCACAAAAGATTCTCACAAATTGAGAAGCTAGTCTAATATTTAAAAAGAAAAAAAGAAGGAGAAGGAGGGATGTAGTAGAGCAGTGAAAGGTAAGGAGTGTGTGGTTTTTATTTTAATTTTTTTTCAGACTCAACTTTCATGGCTGCCCTTTGCTTCACAAAGAACTGAAGCTTTAATTCTAGATAGCATATCTGGTTTTTTGATGATGCTAAAAAATTCCCAAAGCATTTAGAAAGTATGCTGATATGGTAGCCCAAAGTGATATTAGCTCCGTTGGGCCATGGACCTAATGTTTTTGTACTTAGAAGTGAACTGTTGCATGAATAGAAATATTTGACTAAAATCTTGGAAGGAAAATTAAAATTATGTAATTTTTGTAATATGTGTATGTATATATATATATATATATATATATATATCATGCTTACTCAAATAAGCCCATTGCAATATCTACCTGATTAAAACAATTTTTAAAAAAATAGATAATGTTTTAAGTAGCTAACTTTAACACAAAGCCACTGACTAGATTCTAGTCAAAGCACTAGGGATTCTGATTTAACATACTGGCTTGAAAGGTCTATATCAAAATCATTTCAAATGCATATGATAAATAATATAGATTTGTATATGCTAAATTTTGCTGTTAATAATTATTAAGAATTAAATGCCTACATAAGCAAGAAATAAAACCTTCAGATTATATGGCACTAGGCTAGATTTAAAATGGTTTCAATAATCAAATGGAACAAATGATTTCTTTCTAATTAGTTTGACTTTGATAATTTAGATTCAGATAAAGTAAAAAACTGTGATTATCTGAAAAAATGACATGGCACTTAAGCAAGAGGTTGAGTGAAGCTGCTTTGGAGAGTAGTTAAAAATATGAGATTCAAACAGACCATAAGTAGAGTGCAGATTCTGCTATTTACTGGCTATATAACAATGGTCAGATTACTTCACAGTGCTTTTGTAAAGATCAAATGAGATATTATATATAAAGTGCTTAGCCTTGTGTTAGGCATGGAGAAAGCATTTAGTAAATATCAGGCCCTGTCAGGAGACATATAACAGCCTTCGTTTCTTTTCTAAAAAAAGTAATTTTTTTCCCTCTTTATTCAAGAGAAAAGGAAACATGGAAAGGAGGAAGCAATCTCAGTGTGTATGCTGTAAATAAATATTAATAGATAAAAATATCCATATTTACATGTATAGATATAAAAATGTACTTCACACATGTATGTATTTATGAATTCACACACAAACACATATATACCTAATTTGTCTTAGTTGTACACTTTTACTGGAAATAATTTTTGACAAATTAATATACTGATAATATAAGGCAATAAGTGCCTATACATGTCTTTACTAAGCATATATAGAAGTCATAATATAGAGGGGGTTTTTTTGGTTAAAGTCTCATTTAATGTTGATTTAAATAAGAGATAGGCACTTTGGAGAAGAATTTGTTTGAAAATTTTATCATTTATGACTGTTTTCTTATGCCACCTTAAAATATGTTCTTTGTCTCTTAGGTAAATTGGTGGATATAACTGGAGAATATAAATACATGTATTTATCCTGTGGGGCTATTGTGTTTGTAGCAAGCGTATGGCTGCTCATTGGCAATGCTATAAACTATAGATTGCTTGACAAGGAAAGGAAGAAGGCACGAGCAAGGAAGAAGATGAGTACACTTGAGTCCAGAGAGTCTGAACACTTGAGCAAATCTAAACATTCGGAAGACGGTCAGAAAGCAAAGACTACTCCCTCAGAAAGAGAAACTAATATCTAACAAGAATCACATCTCCAATTTCAGTATTTATAAATTGTCCTAGGAGCTTGTTTTGTTTTTCAAAATATCAGAAAAAGTTTTTAATTGAAATGAAAAGTCACAGTTAAGGATGGAGATGAGATTTTCCTCAATGGCAAATTTTTAATTAATTTTTTAAAAACTTATTTGGGGAGTTAAATTTTGAGATTGTGTATGTAAAGAATCCATGCAATGGATTTATTTCCATACATGACTCCGGGTCTGATGGTTAAAATGCTAATTTTAAAGTCTTCCAGTGACTTCAACCCTTGGTTATATATAGAGTTCTGAATCCCAAACTCCTGATTTAAGTAATTAGAAGGAGGATGTTTAATTCTATAAAATGACCCTCTTCACATTTCATTTTTTATTGATATTAAAGTGTGAATAGACTTGAGGGAAAATTAATTCTCCCCTCATACACACAAACACATTATTCTCACATATATACCTACATGTACACACAATATCTGGAGAATAAAAAACAAATTGAAAAATAATATTATCACTGTAATTTATTTTTTAAGTAAAAGAAATCTGTGGAGACAAAAGAAATGTATTACATCTCTATGCCATTTTACAATGAATTTTAAAGATAAGCACCTGGGTAAAAATGAGAATGATCTTAATTCAAAAATGCAATTGGCTGCTATAGAAAGCATTTGCAAGTACAAAATACATTTGGTAAAGAAAAGAGAAAAAATCCATTTTAAGCTATTATAGCTGAGCATGGTTAGACTTGATTAATTCATGCACATGGTTTCTTTTGGGGGCTGGGGACGGGCCTTAGTACCTGGTGCTAGAGAACAGAACCTTTAAATAATTTTCGGAATTCTTAGAAATATGTAAATCAAATTAAAGGTCTAAATGAATCTTAGCAATAAGCTATGTCCATTGAATCTAAAAGGATTTTAGTTTGAAATTCAGAAAGTAATAATCAGGGATTTCTTTCAACTGGGACTCAATTCAGATTAATTATCATGCTGAAATACCAAAGTAGAATAAACTGGAATGAATCCTAGTTGACAGACATATAAGTGGACCAAATTCTAATTTTTCCCAACATATAGTGGTGGTCAATGGTTTCTATTATAAGTAATTCATCTGGGTACAACTGACTAAGAGTGGGAGATGGTTTTAATGAGCCCCCTAAGGTCACTCAGCACCCTCACTTCCACAAAATGCAAAAGCAAAACATAAACTATAAACAGACCTTTTACTCAGCCACTGAAAGTGCTACATATTATAGGAATGGCAGCTCTTTAAAATTCTACCTTCTACTGATTAGACTTCCTATTGCCTTTGAACATAACTAAGCCAGGAAACTATTTAAAAAGCTTCTAGAAATGGAGGCTATTGGAACTGTAGGCATAGTTTATAACAGGATAACAAGAAGCTTGAAATATTGCAGCTAATTTAGCAATTTCTCATTTTCATAACTATGTGAAAATATCTGGGAATCTGATTCACTCTTGAATACAGAGTCATATGATAGTTCTGTGCTTTCAAGACTATAAATACCATTTTGAGTGAGAAACTACTTTTAAACAAGAAAGAAATTGCACATTGTGGTTAAAATTATAAATATTTATGTCCATAAATATGAAGTTTAAATTAACAAGATGATTAATAAAAAGCATTTAGTACTTGATTATTGCACTTTTAAAGATGATGTCACTGTTAGATGTCAAAGGGAATTTGTCATTCATTTTTTTATTGCAATAAAGGCAGGTGCTATAATTCCTATGAAATAGCATCTGGATACCAAGCTTTTGTAATAGTTCACATTAAGGATTTTATTCATAAAATGTATGCACTGCTTAAGCAGGTGCCTCTTATTTAGGAAGCTATATAAAATTACATTTTTCATGTAACATTCACTTTTTTTACATATGAAGTTATTTGTATTTTTCAAATATTAAGTAAAAGACAAGATGTGCCAATATCATAGGTAAATAAATCAGGAAAAATGTGGCATTATATGGCTGTTTTTAATTTAGCTGCACCCAATCTTGAATCTTGAAATAGCTGTTTTATATTATTAGTGCTTTTGTATTCAACTGTGACCTGTTGTAAGAAATGCAGCATCATAAATTACCTCTCCAATCATAAATTTCCAAAAACTATTTTCAATTTCAAGAAAGCATCTTGAATTCTCTAAAAATAGACATTTAAAATAATATAAATATCATACCCCATGGGGAAATAAATAACAAAGTAATAATCATGGAGTTTTAGGTCTGAGCCTTTTAATACCACTTGCTAGTAGAGACGTGCTATTGGGTGCATTCCAGTGGCCTTCTCCATGGGAGGAGGTTTATTTACTTACTGACGAGTTTCTTGTCAAGTCAAAAGCAATTCACATTTGTCTGGATGCTCTTTGGTTGTCTTCATTAATTCTTTATTTCTAACACTGATTCTGTTAAATTGTTAGAAAAGAAAGGGAAGTAAAATTGTACATTCAAAGCACATGCTATGATGTGTACAGTCATACCTGCCAGTGGCACTGCACAAAGTTACAAATATGCACACATATTAATTCCCATATATAAATGTTGATAATTAAACCAGAACGCATTTAGACAGTGACATAAACACATATAGGATTCAGAATTGTTCTGGGGTAATATAAATTATTCTACTTGTTTGCTCTTCCCACTCTGCTTTGAACTTTTTAGGAGATTTATTGCTTTAATGGAATCTTCCAAAGCTTGAGAAAAGAATATCAGCCTATAACATTATTGTATAGTTACATAAAGAGAGGAGGAATTATAGTTGGCTTCTGTGTCTGCAACAATCACTACTGAACATATTTCTTCCCTCTAGGAGACAACAGATTTTAAATGTTCAAAATATCATAAAGCAAAGTCACAGTATACCACTAAAACCCCTACTTAGCCTTATACCCCCATTATGAAATTGCACAGGAGAAAGGGTGTCAAAAGCCAAGGTACTGAAATGATTCATAATCACTGGCTAGCTTAAATATTTTCCATTTATATTAACTGAGCACCCCATATTTTGTACCATTTAACCTTAAATATGCCTTCACTAACTTGTCCTAACCTCTTCCCACCTTTTTTCCTGATTTTTTTAGGATCCAAACAGCACACTTTTAAAAGACAGTGGGTCAGGGTTTCATGCATTTCACATTGAAACACATGTTTTCTCAGTATAAATTCACATGACTCGAATTTCACTCCTTTAATACCAAATTCCAACCACCTTAGCTCCCGGACCAATGGACACTAGGAAATAAGTAAAAGAATTAGCTCCCATATGTTCAAATGTGCACTTTAAAAATCTAAATATTTTATACTCTTCCTTCTCCAGCTGTACAACATAATAATCAAGAATATAAAAAAACTAAAATATATACAATATGTTTTTATATATTAATAGATGTCAGAGATATGTAGCGATATCCTTGATTAGTTAGTTTAAATTTATTTTTCATCCAAAACACCTTTTTTAAAAAAATAAAAAAAAACCGTCTTATGCTTATGACGTTCTAGACTTTTAATAAAGCAAAATAAAAAATAGTGATTGTTAAGGTCAATTTAATAGGGAGAAAGGATTCAAAGTGGGAAGGGAACTAATATTTATGCATCATGTATTTTTCTTACACAATGCCTTTTAATATTCAAACCTATACCATAGCAGAAGTTATTAGCTTCTGCTAATAGATGAGTGAATGATCTGCTATGATAGATGAGTGAAACCTGAAAACAAAGAAGCTTAGCAAATTACCCACGGTTAAAAGATAGTATGTGATAAAATCAAAATTAAAACTCAGGTTTACCTAGAAGCAGAAAGACTCCTAAGGTGTTCACTACCATGCTTCATCCTGATAGAAGCTATAGAAGCAAAAGTAGATAAAATACAGGTTCAGGTAAACCAATTAAGTTTAACCACAATTTGTATTATGATTTATTTAGTGTTTAGTTACATTTGATATAACCTAAATATATAATTTCAAATTTCCTGCTTTTCTGCTTAATGCAAATTATCTCAAATAATAGTAATGATTACATAATGGTCATAATTGAATGTGACTTTTTTCTCATAAACATAATAACATATGACTTAGGCATAATATATTTTCCCTGAGGTTGGATTTCGAAGAAACATGGGTTTTTTATGAATAAGTAATCCACATATTGGTTGCTACTTATTATGCTTCAAAAAGTAAAATATACTTACTATAGAACATTATATTAATATTTAGAAATTTAGTGATTATCCCACTTATAGGATTATCCCAAGCTACTACAAAAGGTTATGATATACAAGTGATTTATCTATACAGTACATATTTATTTTCACCATTTAATACAACTTCCCATACTCTAACTCATTTTTCACGTTTCTCTGAATATCTGTATTGCCATTCTCCCCTCCATTCATTTGTTCTACAGAGAGAACAAGCGTCATTGCTTTTGTCTTCTCCATCTACTTTTGAAGTACTTAGAATGTAGCTCTCTTTACCTCTATTCAGACAGTGCATTCCCGATGCATTATATTCTTCTTGAAGTTATCCATGATGTATCTGGTGTCACTTATTTGTGACTTGTACAAACTACCATATTCTTGAGGCCGATCGTATATACATACTTTTGACCATGACCACTCGTCTTCACAAATAAAGCAACTCTTCTGACTACAGACTTGAGCTTTCCTGGTAGAGAAATTGCTTATATTATAGAAGATATTTTTGTTAACATGAGTTTTATGTAAAAATAAACATAAAATCGAATGTGATTTTGAAGAATATTGAAAAACAGATCCTTCTGCCCTTGACACTTACTATCCTGGATGTTTCTAATTTTCTTAAAGTGCCTGACAGCTTTTAAAACAAAGCTTACCATCACATATTGCACCATTATGCATTATTGTGTAGTCTCCATCCATACAGTGACATCACTAATATATCATACCAAGTGGATTCCTAATCAGAACTGTTCATAAAACCAAACATTATCAAAATTATGGAGAATAAAGACTAAAATTACAATCTTGACTTTCCTCATCTTACTTTTTTGTTTAGGTTTTGATTTCTGTATATACTATGCATGACCTCATGTTTGAGAAACCACTTAAAAGCTGAGAGGCCCAGTTATCAGTAATTAATTGTAATGCTTCCATAATCAAAATCATAAGTAATTTTGTTTGTGATATAATTTTTAAAAATGAATAATTTGCTGAGCTCCGGTCATTTTTTATAGCTCTGATTTTTCTCTCCTTTTCTGTCAGTTGTTTGTACACTGCAGATTTTAGCTCTTTATAAGGTCCTATGATCAGGTTTATCTTAATCTTCTCTCCTCTATTGCTTGCTTTCTTTTTTTTTTTTTTTTTTTTATACAGAGTCTCACTCTGTTGCCCAGGCTAGAGTGCCATAGTGTCAGCCCAGCTCATAGCAACCTCAAATCCTAGGCTCAAGCAATCCTCCTGCCTCAGCCTCCCGAGTAGCTGGGACTACAGGCATGTGCCACCATGCCAGGCTAATTTTTTCTATATATTTTTAGTTGGCCAATTAATTTCTTTCTATTTTTAGTAGAGATGAGGTCTCACTCTTGCTCAGACTGGTTTGGAACTCCTATCCTTGAGCAATCTGCCTCCTCGGCCTCCCAAAGTGCTAGGTCCCCTATTGCTTTTTCACTTTAATTCACATGAAGGCAGATCATGAAAGAATTACTATAGCACTGAGAATGGTAATTTTAGCCTAAAAAGAAAAATTAATATTGCAAAAAAATTATTGACATTAGTGAAGCATATGGGAATTTTTTTAGACAGAATTATTTTTCCCATCCCAATCCCCTGCTGCTTTACCTTCTCTTTTCCTTTTCTTTAATAATTTTTTTAAAAATTATTTTCCTT